CAGGAAACAGAGCAGCTAGTGTTAGCTGAGAGGTAGCTGGGTGTTAGCTTCTAAAACATGACGGGTTAAAGGAAACAGGAAACAGAGCAGCTAGTGTTAGCTGAGAGGCGTTAGCTTCTAAAACATGACGAGTTAAAGGAAACAGGAAACAGAGCAGCTAGTGTTAGCTGAGAGGTAGCTGGGCGTTAGCTTCTAAAACATGACGGGTTAAAGGAAACAGGAAACAGAGCAGCTAGTGTTAGCTGAGAGGTAGCTGGGTGTTAGCTTCTAAAACATGACGGGTTAAAGGAAACAGGAAACAGAGCAGCTAGTGTTAGCTGAGAGGTAGCTGGGCGTTAGCTTCTAAAACATGACGAGTTAAAGGAAACAGGAAACAGAGCAGCTAGTGTTAGCTGAGAGGTAGCTGGACGTTAGCTTCTAAAACATGACGAGTTAAAGGAAACAGGAAACAGAGCAGCTAGTGTTAGCTGAGAGGTAGCTGGGTGTTAGCTTCTAAAACATGACGGGTTAAAGGAAACAGGAAACAGAGCAGCTAGTGTTAGCTGAGAGGTAGCTGGGTGTTAGCTTCTAAAACATGACGGGTTAAAGGAAACAGGAAACAGAGCAACTACTGTTAGCTGAGAGGTAGCTGGGCGTTAGCTTCTAAAACATGACGGGTTAAAGGAAACAGGAAACAGAGCAGCTAGTGTTAGCTGAGAGGTAGCTGGGCGTTAGCTTCTAAAACATGACGAGTTAAAGGAAACAGGAAACAGAGCAGCTAGTGTTAGCTGAGAGGTAGCTGGACGTTAGCTTCTAAAACATGACGAGTTAAAGGAAACAGGAAACAGAGCAGCTAGTGTTAGCTGAGAGGTAGCTGGGTGTTAGCTTCTAAAACATGACGGGTTAAAGGAAACAGGAAACAGAGCAGCTAGTGTTAGCTGAGAGGTAGCTGGGTGTTAGCTTCTAAAACATGACGAGTTAAAGGAAACAGGAAACAGAGCAGCTAGTGTTAGCTGAGAGGCGTTAGCTTCTAAAACATGACGGGTTAAAGGAAACAGGAAACAGAGCAGCTAGTGTTAGCTGAGAGGTAGCTGGGCGTTAGCTTCTAAAACATGACGGGTTAAAGGAAACAGGAAACAGAGCAGCTAGTGTTAGCTGAGAGGTAGCTGGGTGTTAGCTTCTAAAACATGACGGGTTAAAGGAAACAGGAAGCAGAGCAGCTAGTGTTTAGCTGAGAGGTAGCTGGGTGTTAGCTTCTAAAACATGACGGGTTAAAGGAAACAGGAAACAGAGCAGCTAGTGTTAGCTGAGAGGCGTTAGCTTCTAAAACATGACGGGTTAAAGGAAACAGGAAACAGAGCAGCTAGTGTTAGCTGAGAGGTAGCTGGGTGTTAGCTTCTAAAACATGACGGGTTAAAGGAAACAGGAAACAGAGCAGCTAGTGTTAGCTGAGAGGCGTTAGCTTCTAAAACATGACGGGTTAAAGGAAACAGGAAACAGAGCAGCTAGTGTTAGCTGAGAGGTAGCTGGGTGTTAGCTTCTAAAACATGACGAGTTAAAGGAAACAGGAAACAGAGCAGCTAGTGTTAGCTGAGAGGTAGCTGGGTGTTAGCTTCTAAAACATGACGGGTTAAAGGAAACAGGAAACAGAGCAGCTAGTGTTAGCTGAGAGGTAGCTGGGTGTTAGCTTCTAAAACATGACGGGTTAAAGGAAACAGGAAACAGAGCAGCTAGTGTTAGCTGAGAGGTAGCTGGGCGTTAGCTTCTAAAACATGACGGGTTAAAGGAAACAGGAAACAGAGCAGCTAGTGTTAGCTGAGAGGTAGCTGGGTGTTAGCTTCTAAAACATGACGAGTTAAAGGAAACAGGAAACAGAGCAGCTAGTGTTAGCTGAGAGGTAGCTGGGCGTTAGCTTCTAAAACATGACGGGTTTAAAGGAAACAGGAAACAGAGCAGCTAGTGTTAGCTGAGAGGTAGCTGGGTGTTAGCTTCTAAAACATGACGGGTTAAAGGAAACAGGAAACAGAGCAGCTAGTGTTAGCTGAGAGGTAGCTGGGTGTTAGCTTCTAAAACATGACGGGTTAAAGGAAACAGGAAACAGAGCAGCTAGTGTTAGCTGAGAGGTAGCTGGGTGTTAGCTTCTAAAACATGACGGGTTAAAGGAAGCAGGAAACAGAGCAGCTAGTGTTAGCTGAGAGGTAGCTGGGCGTTAGCTTCTAAAACATGACGGGTTAAAGGAAACAGGAAACAGAGCAGCTAGTGTTAGCTAAGAGGTAGCTGGGTGTTAGCTTCTAAAACATGACGGGTTAAAGGAAACAGGAAACAGAGCAGCTAGTGTTAGCTGAGAGGTAGCTGGGTGTTAGCTTCTAAAACATGACGGGTTAAAGGAAACAGGAAACAGAGCAGCTAGTGTTAGCTGAGAGGCGTTAGCTTCTAAAACATGATGTGTTAAAGGAAACAGGGAATGGAGGAAATGAAACTTACTGCTGTGAGGATCTCTGTGCCGGTCAGTGTCGGCCATCAGGAAAACTGCTGTCTGCTGACAGATCAAATGAAACGTAAAGTAAAACTAAATGTAATTCAGTCTGTGAGTTTCTGTCCGTCGGTTGGTCAGTTGGTCAGTTGGTCGGTTGTTCGGTTGGTCGGTTGGTCGGTTGTTCGGTTGGTCGGTTGGTCAGTTGGTCAGTTGGTCGGTTTGTCAGTTGGTCGGTTGGTCGGTTGGTCGGTTGGTCGGATGGTCATTTGGTCAGTTGGTCGGTTTGTCAGTTGGTCGGTTGGTCGGTTGGTCGGTTGTTCGGTTGGTCAGTTGGTCAGTTGGTCGGTTTGTCAGTTGGTCGGTTGGTCGGTTGGTCAGTTGGTCGGTTGGTCGGATGGTCATTTGGTCAGTTGGTCGGTTGGTCAGTTGGTCGGTTGGTCGGTTGGTCGGTTGGTCGGTTGGTCAGTTGGTCAGTTGGTCGGTTTGTCAGTTGGTCGGTTGGTCGGTTGGTCAGTTGGTCGGTTGTTCGGTTGGTCGGATGGTCATTTGGTCAGTTGGTCGGTTTGTCAGTTGGTCAGTTGGTCGGTTTGTCATTTGGTCAGTTGGTCGGTGGGTCAGTTGGTCGGTTGGTCGGTTGGTCAGTTGGTCAGTTGGTCAGTTGGTCGGTGGGTCAGTTGGTCAGTTGGTCAGTTGGTCAGTTGAAGCCAGATGGAGTTAGATGGAGTCAGTTGGAGTCAGATGGAGTCAGATGGAGTCAGATGGAGTCAGATGGAGCCAGTTGGAGTCAGTTGGTCAGTTGGTCAGTTGGTCAGTTGGAGCCAGATGGAGTTAGATGGAGTCAGTTGGAGTCAGTTGGAGTCAGTTGGAGTCAGATGGAGTTAGATGGAGTCAGTTGGAGCCAGTTGGAGTCAGTTGGTCAGTTGGTCAGTTGGTCAGTTGGAGCCAGATGGAGTTAGATGGAGTCAGTTGGAGTCAGTTGGAGTCAGTTGGAGTCAGATGGAGCCAGTTGGAGTCAGTTGGTCAGTTGGTCAGTTGGTCAGTTGGAGCCAGATGGAGTCAGTTGGAGTCAGTTGGAGTCAGTTGGAGTCAGTTGGAGTCAGATGGAGTCAGTTGGAGTCAGTTGGAGTCAGATGGAGTCAGATGGAGTCAGTTGGAGTCAGTTGGAGTCAGTTGGAGTCAGTTGGAGTCAGTTGGAGTCAGTTGGAGTCAGTTGGAGTCAGTTGGTCAGTTGGTCAGTTGGTCAGTTGGAGTCAGATGGAGTCAGATGGAGTCAGTTGGAGTCAGTTGGAGTCAGATGGAGTCAGTTGGAGTCAGTTGGAGTCAGTTGTAGTGTCTGTAGTTTCACGTAGTTTTGGTCTCCAGGAAACAGAGGATGAAGAAGAGGAAGACGGTCCTGATGAAGACTGAGGTCAGAGTTCAGGTGGAGAGGGGCGGAGCCAGACGCTCCTTCAGAGGAGTCCTGCACAGGTGAGAGGAGACTTCAGTACGATGGACAAACAATAACGGGCTGCGAACGTGTGAACGCACCATGAGCTCTGGTTGCATCTGATATATGTCTTCAGCTATAGTCACATCATTGCTTTGTTAATGCTTTAATCGTTTAACCCAAAAGCAGTGCCACAACACGGCTCTATTTCATCACGTTCTCAAGTTAAGAACTACGTTTTTATTTGAATCTGCCACCGTTTACTGACAGACTATAAAACATTTAAATATTCACAACATGATTAAAAGTATAAAATATATATTATCATGTTCATAATTTAAAACATATTGAAATATTTAAAACATTTATTATGAATCATAGAAACAGAAGAATGAATACGTGAATGAACGTGAACAAAGAATAAATATAAGATCAGATGTTTTCTGTTAGAAACTCTCCCTGGTCCCCGGCTTGAGCTTCAACCTCAGGATCCATGTATCTCTGATCCTCTCAAGAATGGAAGTAGTCAAAATCTAAAAAATCTGGCTTTTTCTCAAAAATCTCCTAGATCTGACTTTTTCTCAAAATCTCAAAAATCTGACTTTTTCTCAAAATCTCAAAAATTTGACTTTTTCACACAAATCTAAAAAATGCTGACTTTTCTCAAAAATTCTGACTTTTTCTCAAAAATCTCAAAAAAATTGATTTTTTGGCAAAAATCTCAAAAGATGTGACTTTTTCGCAAAATTCTGACTTTTTCTCAAAATCTAAAAATTCTTACTTTTTCTCAAAATTCTGACTTTTTCTGAATACTTAAAAATGTTAATAATCCCTGGTCTCCGGCTTGAGCTTCAATCTCAGGATCCATGTATTTAGTATCCTCTCAAGAATGGAAGGAGTCATCACATACAGAGCATCAACTAGTTCCTGAACAGTGTCCTTCACATGCTGATATCCAAGAGAGGGAGTTACACAGTCACAAGATGGAGGAATAGAAAGCAGTATTCAATGTTTACTTCAGATTAGCTCCACGTCAGAAATGAGCATGCTTGTCATATGTCTATCTCCATAGAGGCTGAATCATCATGTTAATCACATAGCTATCATATGCCTCAAACAGTCCTGATGCTCTTCTAGGTAATCAGACATCCTGTCATGTACACAGCTACAGTTGAGATACCTTTGTTACCATGTTACTCTCATGTTGGAAGAGGACATTCAGTGTTTCAGATTTCAGTGTTGAAAGCCCGAACAGACTGGAATACTTTACCTGCTGCTATAGATCATCATTGGGTGTGTTTCAGCATCATCATCTCACTTTCAGCTGCTCTTGTTATTGATCAAACTGATCTATTAGACACTGTCTATCACATTGTAATGATTGTATGTATTACTTCATGAATTGTACTTAACAGACTGTGTGTGATTTGATTTTCCAACATCTTCCCTCCCCAGGTCAGCGTGCCGCCCTCTGCCTGCTGGGGTCAGAGGTCACCTGGTGGAGGGGGGGTGCAGCCTGGGTGCGTTTGTTTCCGGCCTGCTGCTGGCCTCTCTGTACGGGGTCTCCTGTCTCCCCCTGCAGGAGCTCTGGCTCTGCGTCTCCCTCACCCTCAGCCTCGCCGCGGTCGCCTCCTTCTCCATGGGCCTGTCCTCCGGGGTCCGGACCTCCGTCTGCGTGATGCTGCCTTCACTGAGCGCAGGTCAGACCAGCACTCACCTAATGCTGCCTTCACTGTCTGCAGGTCAGACCAGCACTCACCTGATGCCAGAGATGGCAAAAGTACACACATCCTTTACTCAAGTAGAAGTACAGAGACTGGTGTTTAAAAATACTCTGGTGAAAGTAGAAGTACTGACTAAACTTCTTTACTCAAGTAGAAGTACAGATACTTGTTTTAAAGAGTACCTGACCTTCCTTTATATTAATAGAACAATAATGTCATTGTTAGCTAATGAATGTTTCCATGCTGAACAACGGCAACATGACAACGTTTTCATTGGTCGCTCTTCTTTAGAGAAGACCAGGAAATGATGGATACACGGATCGTGTTCAAATCAATAGGCACGCAATGACTCTAAATAATAATGATCACGCCACCAAACACACATTCAAACTAAAGGAACCAGCCTGTTTGGGAAATGTAAGAAGTAGAAAGTACAGGTATTTGGGTTCAACATGTGAGAAGTAGAAAGTACAGGTATTTGGGTTCAACATGTAAGAAGTAGAAAGTACAGGTATTTGGGTTCAACATGTAAGAAGTAGAAAGTACAGGTATTTGTGTTCAACATGTAAGAAGTAGAAAGTACAGGTATTTGTGTTCAACATGTAAGAAGTAGAAAGTACAGGTATTTGTGTTCAACATGTAAGAAGTAGAAAGTACAGGTATTTGTGTTCAACATGTAAGAAGTAGAAAGTACAGGTATTTGTGTTCAAAATGTAAGAAGTAGAAAGTACAGGTATTTGTGTTCAACATGTGAGAAGTAGAAAGTACAGGTATTTGTGTTCAACATGTAAGAAGTAGAAAGTACAGGTATTTGGGTTCAACATGTAAGAAGTAGAAAGTACAGGTATTTGGGTTCAACATGTGAGAAGTAGAAAGTACAGGTATTTGTGTTCAACATGTAAGAAGTAGAAAGTACAGGTATTTGTGTTCAACATGTAAGAAGTAGAAAGTACAGGTATTTGTGTTCAACATGTAAGAAGTAGAAAGTACAGGTATTTGTGTTCAACATGTAAGAAGTCAAAGGAAAAAGTGGTCAGAAAAATAAGTAGTGGAGTAAAGTACTGAGACCAGAAACATGTACTGAAGTACAGTAACAAAGTATTTGTACTCCACTACTTCCCACCTCTGCCTGATGCTGCCTTCACTGTCTGCAGGTCAGACCAGCACTCACCTGCACAGGTGTGAGAGTGAGCTACATGCTTGCAGTCTGTTTTCATACACATTTATTAATATTGTACTGTTTTCATATTGATGCGCCAATCCGATATCAGTAACAGTATTATTCAAATGAAATAGTCTTATACGTCACTTTAGTCTATAATGTATTCTAAATCTGTGGTTGAATGGAGCAGTGCATTGTGGGATTGTTGTGCCTCCTCCTGTGTTTCAGCTCAGGGCAGGAAGTTCCTCCTCTTCCTGTTCATGTCGGCGCTGCTCAGCGGCCCACTCACCAACACGCTGGAGAACACGGAGCGCGCCGCCGCAGGCCTGCTGTGTGGAGCCGAGCTCGCAGCCAATCAGACGCAAGAGCTGCTGCAGAGAGCGGCCACGCCCCTTTTCTGTAAGCCCCGCCCACCAACAACAACACAACAAAATACTTTTAATAAATACTGTTTATAGAGGTAGGTGCAGGAATGAGTCAGCATTTCCTCACTTCCTGTCTTCTGGTCTGGAGGTCAATGGTTTTCTGAATGTGTTTCTGGTTGTCAGTCTGAAATAAAGTCTGACGTTAACACAAGCTGGAGAGATTTTAACGTTTAGTTCTACGAAATTAGCGACGTGCTGTAGTTCCGTTATAGCCCAACATTAGCCTCCTTTAGCTTAGCGGTGGTGACGTGAAGTCATGTGACCGTGCTGTAGTTCCTTTATAGCCCAACATTAGCCTCCTTTAGCTT